GGCACGTATGCAGTTTACGGACTACGGCTGTTTGAAAGGTTTTCTTCCATAAAATTAATCGATTCTAGACTAATTTGACTCAACATTTCCAAAACACGTATAATTTTTTGGGAATAATCCACATAAACTATGCTATAAACAAAAAATTGTAGGATTACTCACCGACTGTGCCCCGTTCGACGACACCATTGCTTAAGCTTGTTTTCATCGTGGAGCGTCACATCGAATGGTGGGCGCATGTTTCCTGATAAATTATTATTCTGTGAAAAATTCGCTGAACTTTGGAGACATCATTAATATAAATATAATTTTTATGGCTGTTAAATAATAAATGGTTTTTAGTAGGTCCACTGCTCGTTTAAACTCAACTGTTTGTGCAATATCTGCTATTGATCTAGATTCGACCAATCCTGTCACGACACAAGTCAGCGATGACGTTTTACTGTATTATACAAGTTTCTTTTAGCGTGTTTATACGAATACGATCACAATTTTTTTGCCGTTATATACGAATCCATATTATATGAACCAATTTTATAGGGGGATCTACTGTATATGCAATAAACTTCATTCCAATAGAAAGCTAAAATTTCACTGCACTATAATTAATAGGAGGAAAATTACTTGTTTAGTGAAAAAACAAACATTTACACGTTTAGTATCAAAATATTTAAACTAATAAAGGTTAGAAAATATATATTAAATTGTTGAATAAAATGTAAACATAAAAAGCAGAATCACAGTCTAATATGGTAAAAATATAACTTAAGCATGGACTACACATTACCTGAAAACTAACTCAAACAGAATTGAAACATAGAGTTTTCATTTCAGTTATGTTTTTGTTTAACTTAACTCCACTAGCACCGAAATGAATGTTACACAGAAATGTGCCACCTGTTGATCAGTTCTGTAATTGTCATAAAGAGTCAAACGTGGACGATGCTACAGATTTTGCCAAGCTTTCTCTGCATTTATTAACAATGAAATTGTTAATAATCCTTAAATTCTTTACATTTCTTGAATAGACATCTGTATTTCCTGACTTCTTCAATGAATAACTAAATCTACTTGCTTCCTCATCCTTTTAGCTGCACTTTCCACCATTACAACAATCAAACTACATGTGACTAATACATGTGACTAATACATGTGACTATGCATCACAAATCCTCATGCTTTTATTGGTTGCAGTATGACAGAAGCATGGAATGAAAACGGAAAAGTTAAATAATTTTTAACTCTGTTTTGGTCTTGTTTCTGTTCAACTGAATGTTGCAAAACTGAAAGTTTCATCAGTTTGACTTTCAGTTTTATGACTATGTTGCTGATTCTGGTGACATGGAGTCCAGGCTTTACTCATTTCTGCTTAACTGACTTAACTAATTTTTCATTGTAAATTTCAGGAACAGACTAATATACTATTTCTAAGAAAAGGGAAATATTTAACTGGTGAAAAAATTAATGTTTATTAGCATAACAACACAAAATTACAGATTCTATTAAATAAAGCTATTGATCACATTTGTAAATGATAAAAAAATATGACATATCAACATATGTCATCTTAATAGTTCAGTGTTTTTTTATTAATCTTCTGCTTTCCAAGTTAGAAAATACTACAGTCATCCTCACTTAATTCAAACTCACTTAATTTGAAACAGTGTTTAATTTGAAGCACTTGTGATTCTCCAGATGCCTTAATGGCAATTCCTAATGTTTTTGTTTGTTTAGTTTAAACTTGCCTTTCTGTTAATTTCAGTCCCAAAGTAAGTCTTTTCTAATTTGAAGTAACATGATACCAACACGTCATCTATCAACATCCAACCATTGTTTACAGGAAGTGGTCCTGTAAACAATGGTTACAGTTTGTCAGGTACAGTTACAGGAAGTGGTCCTGTAAACAATGGTTGCAGGAGAAACAAAATGTAAACTAAGTCAAAATCTGAGACATCTATTAAAATTAAATTAAAAACATTTGTTTTTAATTTAATTTTAATAGATGTCATTTGTACATTTTTGTTAAGAAAGGAAACTGATAAAGCCAAATGATGTGTTTTTTCCAGGTTTTACAAGATAAATTATCATCATCAATTAAAAAACACAGTAAATGAGCAAGATTTTTTTATTTTTTAATTACACTTTCTTATGTAACATAAATAATATATAAATTATAATACTGTAAAACTTAATGCAATATAATATACAATTTCTTAAAATAACTGTCTATTTTTGATTTCATCCTGGGTTGATAATGGTCCTGAATTAAGTTGTTTAGCTTGTCAAATGCTTCAAAACACTTTGATGTACATCTTTGCAAGAAATTAAAGCATCCAAAACTCTTATTATGTAAAGTGCTTCCAATGGACATGGGTTTCTCTTCTTCATTTCCTTGTTGTTGTTCATCATCTTCCTTCTTGCTATTGCTTTCTGTTGCTTGTTGACAAGGTTCTTCCTGAATTTCACTGAGAGGCAGAAGTTTCTAGTCGATTATCCAATTTGACAAAGTCTTTGAAATTTCCTTACACATCTTCGCAAGAGAATTCTTCCCATTCGAGACATTCAAGAGCCGTATCATCTGCAACAACTTCCAGTTCCTGGTGAGTCCGACCACTTTTTAATTACATCAGGAGTCATGACTTCCCAGGAAGAAGTTTCTAAGTGAATCTAAAATCATCCATTTTCTTGCAGCATCAATTTGAATATTCCTATACTTAATTTCTCTTAAGCAGTAGGTTTGAAGGAGAGAATTATTCCTTGATCCAAAAGCTTCAGTACATCAGTTGAGTTCAGCAGCAAAAAAGTACTGTATGGACTCCAATATGACTTCTCTATGATTGTGAGCCATATATCTATCCGTGAGGAGAACAATTTTCCTCTTTTGTGCAGTCATTCTTTGGTCCAGTCAAAGCAACCATTCATGAAATAACTTGCCAGTCATCCAAGCATTTTTACTGGAAGTATATTCACATGGAATATGAGAAATTTCCTTGAAACAGTAAGGTTTCACATACCAACCAATAACAAATGGGGTGAGCTTCTTGCTTCCATCATCATTGCAAGCAAGCAAAACTGTCATCAACACTTTGGACTTTTACCAGATTGACACTTTTGATCTTTAAACGTGAAGGTTTGATTCGGTAAGCAATTAAAAAACAGCTGTTTCATCACAATTAAAGATGTCCCTCAGCAGCCAATTTTCCATCACAGGCTTAACACATTCCACCCAGTTTTCAACTTCTTTTAAATCCACAGATGCTGCCTCTCCACTTGACATCAAAGAACAATTTAATGAGGTTTTTTTGAAAACAATAAAGCCTTTTGAAGCTTTAAGTCTGTACCCATCTCTTCAGCCTTTTGGTCAGCTTATTCCTTGACCATACTGCCAGATATTGGATCATTTCTTGCCCTTAAATCACAAAACCATTCATAAATGGCTTCATCCAAATCAGCTTCTTGGCATCTTCAAACTTGCTTTCATCCATGAATGTTGAGTCCTTCTCTGGCTGCAGATTCAAGAGCACTTCTGCTCTATAGGTATGTAGAGGGTAGTCAAAGGAATGTTGTATTCTTTTACTAAGACAGAAATAGCCATAGTTGTTTCCTCCTCATCTACTGCCACAAAAATTTCTAACTTCTTTGCTAATTGCAAGTGCTTTCTTGCCAGCATTTTTGATATGAAGACTACACAGTGAATATTGTAATGAAATTACTGTAAAACACTTCTTATCTGCTGGTAGGGTGAGATGAAGACTGTTTATTTTTGTTTCAGGAAGATCAACTTCTTTCTTGGCAGCTGTTGGCAAATACCTTTCAGCCTGGCATATGACAGTTTTAGTTTTGATTTTGGAGTCTTATGATTTATAAACACGATAAATACTGTATCATCTACATGCAGCTCTTATAATGGTTTTTTATTTTCTCTGCGTGCTAAAGTGAGACATGTTAGATTTAAAATTTTAAAGGTCTCTTATTTTGTTTAGATGTTTACTACCAACTGTGTAATTTTCATGTCCATATCTGCAGTAGATTGTTTGTAATTAACATTTAGGAGTCTCAATTTCCCTAACTCACCTATTACTCTCTATAGACTTTATATAGGAAATGCATTGAACTGTTTTCCTCTTTGAACTATCTGTATTGAAGTTTTCTGTCTAAGCACAGCTGTGTGTAAAATGACATCATCTGTCTCCCATGTGCAGTGTTCTGAAATTTGCCACATTAAAATTGGACTTTGCCTGAATTTCTTGAAAGAATCAGAGATCTATAGAGTTTTAATTATAGTAAGGAAAAAAAAACAAATTTTAAGTTAAGAGAAATGAGAGATCTAAATACAGTAGTTAAAGCAATAAATATCTAAAAAATAATAATTAAAATGTGTTTTTTTTCAAATTTTTTTAATAATTCTTTTTAATATGTTTTTATAAAAGTATAACAATTGTAAACTATGATATGTTTGTGATAAAAAATAAAAAAAACAGATTGATTCTAGCCCAATTAGGAGCTAAGAAATCAAACATTTAAAAATGCTTTTTAACAACATTTTTTGGCACCATATGTAGCATGGATAGTCTGTATAACAGTGTAAAAATCTGTACAGGTACTGTATTTGTTTAAAAAAAATTACCCTTTTAGTTTGAAATCAGTTAATTTGAAGTCCTGTTTTCAAAGTCCTGAGCATTTTGAATTAAGCAGTGATGACTATATTGATCAACATAGTTTAGCATAAGTCAGAAAACAGAAGATTAACACCAGTATATGTTTTCATTAAATAAATTTTTTTTAAATACAATGTTACAAATACAAATACAAAAGCAGTTCCCTACTATTTCAATTAAGCAACTTTGTACTTTGTATACAGTATTCATAACATTAACCAATGACCAATATAATATAACTTATAAAATAATTTAACAAAAAGAAATACCTGTCTAAGTTTAGACATTGCATCAGCAGAAATAAATTCATTTTTACTGAATCGTGTAACAAAGCACATCACTTGATACTGGCTTTGTCCCATCTCTTCTTCTCCAAGCACCAATACTCTAAATATTTGTACCTCCTATTAAAGATATTACAACATTATATTTTATACAATAACAACTTAATCTGTAAAGTTAAAATATTGTATTTATTCAATTCTAAGCTGCACCTCAATTTCTCAACTAATTTTCATGAAAAAATAGCAATAGTAAGATTTACTTACAAAGTTAAAAAATTAGTTACAAGGAGTGAAGTATTAATTTATTAAAATAATCTTGAATACATAATTTAAAGTAAATTGTAATTGCTCTCACTATCATACTGTGAAAATGATTTATCAGTTGTATTATCACAGCTGATTTTGAAACCAGTGTTGGCATCATCATTTTCCCAAACTAAGTTTTCTGTGCCATCATCGCATTTGTAATGAAGCATATTTTTAAAGAAATGAATTATCATTTCACTGAAAACTTTTTCCAGGTGACAGATACCCAATCCACCATTTTCGAAGTGCTCGCCTTGTTTATTTTCCCAGAAGCACTTAAATTATAGTTTTGTGAATGTAACTAATTTTCATATTGTTTTTTTATGTAGTCCTTAAAAGACTAGTTGATGCAAACATCACGTGACTGAAGTTAGCTCATTATACTGCTCAAGATTATCACCAATTCACAATTTCACTACAATGAGACAAACTTGTAGAAGGTGTGTATATATATATATATGTCCATACTCTGTAGAGCTCACCACAGATAACCTGTATATTTATGGGAGTACACCTCAAAAGATTAAAAATACTACAAAATAAGTGATCCAATATTATTGTATGGCAGATCAACAGATCATTTCTGAAAAAAGAATCCTGATTAAAAACTACTGATTGGATGATGATAAAATTAGGTTAGAGGATAGTAGACATGGTACAGAACAGATTTACTTTAAAAAATTGTCTTTTCAGGTAAAATTTAGCAACCTTTAAATGTAAGCTGACCCCAATTTTTAAACATTAAAATGGCAAGAAAGTGCAACTTAAAATAGAATATATATGGTACATTTAATAGAAACATAATTATTATAATACCATATTAGAATTTAATGTTAAAACTTTTAAATCTGTAAATTTCTAAACTTTAGTATTACAAAAATTTTAACATACAGTAGAGAATCAATTATCTGAATATCAATCAACCGAAATGTCAATTAACCAAAAGCTTTCCAGTTGGCAAATTTAAATTTCCACTAGTGCTGTGGCACTGCAATATTTGGCTATGTCTTGGGCTACTTCAATATTATTTTTGTTAATATGCGTGTTTTAGCTGGCAGCACTGGCACAACCATGAGAAAGTACTTAAGGACGTGCTAGGATTTGGACAAATTTCAACATGGAATAGGTTAATATATTTTTTCATACATAATCCAAAAAATCAATTTTCCAAACAACTCCAGTCCCCAATTGATTCAGATAATGAATGCACTACTGTATTTAAAAAAAATAATAATAATAATAATTCTCCCTGGGTCACCACCTGGTCGTGGTAAGAAAGCCCAGTAATTCTACTAAACCATAGAGCAATGCAGGCTGGAGCACAAGCTCCTGGTAGGGACACCCATGCCAGTAAGGTCTATGGGGAGAAATGAAGCTAAGAGTGACCACACCCACATTCTGTGGTGATATTTATCATGGTAGTAACCAGATCAAAGTGTGATACCGGCTCGGATGTCGCCTGGGTTAATAAGGTCCGCATTCGTGAGTTAGCCAAAGGCTCACATTCAAAAAATAGACTGCAGTCTCCCTTGGTTACCAGTGGCGAAAGCAGTGCTGGCCCAAGCATGGCTACTGCAATGCCCTCAACAGATATGAGGAATCAACCTAGCCTTCGTGTTTGTGGCAACGCATCCACAGATCACAAAGGCTGGAAAACCACGCCAACGGATGAAATGGACAATAGAAATGAATGAGTTTATCATCCATACTTACTACGCAATCACAAAACTCGAAACAAACATAACAGCATACAGACAACAACTACAGCGTAGATTCACACAACAATATCCTCACCTCACTGTCACCGAACAAAGGGTTGTTGATCAAAAACGAACAATTATACACAACAACCTTATCCCA